CTGGGGAATTCTGGGAGTTGAAGTCCACACGTCTTAAAGTTGCCAAGGTTGAGAAACCCTGAGCTAAGGCAGAGCTAAACGTGGTTGTTTTTGCTGCCAGGAAATCTTTGGCATAACCTGAAACCAAGGGAATTGGGGAACACATGAGGGGAATGTAGAGGTCGAATAACTAACATCTGAGGCCAGCCGGCTAAAACTGAGAAAGGATACAAAGAGGTCGAGAGAATAGGTTTAATTTTTTTTTTTTTAATCTCTGATTCTGGATCATTGGGGTTTGGTTTTTTGACACAGGGGAGAGTGGAAAAGGGTTTGCAGAGGGATGTACCATCCAATGCCCACCTCCCTGAAAGGGAGCTCTCTGGGACTTCTTTCTGAATATAAGTGGTAGAAAGTCATGCAGGTTTAATGTTGTTGGACACTCTTAGCAGGGAGGCTGCATTTCCATCATCCTTAATTATGTCTGCAGTTGCTTAAGGCGACCCGGATGAAAGGCTTCACAAGTCTGTTTCCTGGCTGACTCTGAGAAGAGATCACATCTCATTTGGCTTTTAATGGACGTGAGCATAACAACTCATTAAGTCCACTTAAATGTAACTTGAAAAGCCAAGAACCCAAGAACTGTACTGAACGGGAGGCACCTTAAAAAAAAAAGTGTCACGCTAATTTTATAAGTTGATTACTTCTGTTATTATACGTGTGTTTCTTTTGTTATGTCTTATTTCATTTCATTTGATTTGTAGTTGCCTTGAGTCTCTTCTCGGATGGGAAGATGGAGTAATCAATTAACTGGATCTTTATAAACTATTAGTCTAACACAGAACCATTCCCACTCCCCTCTCCAAACTGACTAGGAAATGACAACCATAAAATGCGGCCATAAAATTCTGGCTGAATTTTGGAGCTGGACAGGCCCGGGAGCATCTTCCTGGACCACAGGAAGACCTGGCTGTAATCCAGTGCAGGAGTACTTCCCACAGCAACATTTTATTCAAGTTCATTTTAGACCCCTCTGATCCTTCACACATCTGTCGTAAGCTTGTAAAAGCAATCTCCATGCCTCACCAGCACCTGATCTGCATATAGATGGGGAAAGAATGGCCCTGTCTCTAGTTCTCAGGAGCAAAGAACTGAAATGAAGCATCTTCTTTTCATGTTCATTCTCTGCCACCATTTCTATAGCTGTTTTATGATTTATAATTATAAGCCCCTTGAGTGGGGACCTGGAAAACATCTTATATATTGATGGGGCTGTGTGATTAAATAATTAGGCAGCCACATCTACCTGGGCATACCTTCCAAAATCTGTGCACAGTGGTTACAGGGTTAGGCTAGAAAAAAACAGATTCAAATCTGGACTTTGCAGTCAGGTTTACTGGCTGACTTCTCGCCTGTCTCCATTTGTCGGCCAGTCTTACCACTCAGTGGCCTTGAGAAAACAAAATGAGGAAGGGGAGGACACCATGAGCTTGTCAGAGAAACATAAGTGACATCCATACATTTGTAAAATAGAGCCAAAAACATGCATTCAACTGAGCAGCAGGTTACCAAGAGCTGAAATTAAATCAAGATTGTGATGCCTAGGGCTTATGGTCCATTCCTGCATGTTTCTTGGGGAAAAGGTGGTGTAGTAGTTAAGATATTGGATTAGGAATGGGGAGAGCCAGATGTGGAAGGATGTCTGGGGTCCAGTCCTCTGAGCCCAACATACCTCACAGGATTGCTGTTGTAGGAGAAAAATAGAGGGGGGAGTGCTATGCATGCTGCCTTGAGCTCCCAAAGGAAGGGTGGAATATGGATCCATCAAATAAATACATCAACAAATCGAAAGCTGTATGGAGTCCGGTAGTTCCGGTATTCACTTTCCCCATGCAGATGTTCTTCCCAGCATCCTTCTTTCCTCTTTGTCTGGGCTTTGGGCATCCTTTATTGGTTGTCTGCAGCAACCAGTGGGGACCTACACTCTTTTTCATGCACTGTATGAGCTTCAGCTTCCCCTCCTTCCTTCCCTTTGTTTTTTCCAGAGACTCTCTGGCTAAGTAAAACCAAGCATCAACCTCTGCAAAAGAAAACTGAACTACAGATGGGAAGCACAGACCCTGGCAGAGGATTGGAGGTGCTTGAAGATGCAGCCTTGTTAACCAGGAAGGCTCGGTGGGCAACGGACAGGCGTCTGTGTTTTCTCAAGGTGACAGATGCTGTTCTCTCCTGATGCTTCTGCCCCATATTTGTCCTATTTGTGCAGCCTGAGAAGCAAAGCTTAAGCATATATCTCAGCCCCTCCTCTCCCTGGTTTCCCTCCCTCTCTTTCTCCACCTTTCCTTTCCCTTCTTGTTCATTCAGAACAGATGATGCTCTGATCACATGGAGCCCGTCTCCCTTCCTTCCCTTCCTTCCACCCCTTTAAATAGCTGTAATACACAGAGAATTCATTCGTACTATACAGACAGAGAGAGCAGCAGCAGCAGCAGGCAGGCACAGGGAGGGAAATTTAACAGGCAAAAAAGTGGCAACTGAGAAGATAGAGATGAAGACCAACAGTTCTAACTGAGAGAAGAAGGCATGGCTAAGCACAGGGGGTGTGAGCAGCGGCTCTGCCTGCATCTTTTGTTACAGCAAGCAGAGAGAAAGAGGGAGGGCAAAAAGAGGCTAGGATGAGAAGACCCTCCGTGTTTCTGGTGACAATGGCATGGGTCAGACAATCACAGAACAAGTGGGATCTTCATTCACCAGTGGTTTCACCAGCAGCTGCCCCCAGAGAGACTCCTTAGGTACCTCCATTTGCAGGTAAGTTGGCTTTCCTTCCTTGTTTGGGGTTGAGTTCTCTCTCATCCTTCTGGCTGAGGAAGGCAGGCGGTTCCAAGGATAAGAGCAGGGCTTCAGGTGATGGGAGTGGAAGAAGATACCAAGTACTTTGCTTTCAGATTTGCCAACTTGTCACAGGAGGATTGGGGCAATCCATTAAAGAGAAGAAAGAGAAGAACAGCTAACTTCTGGCTGTGAGTGCTGTGAGGCCCAAGCACTGCAGAAAGTATCAGAAGTTATTCTGGATTTTGCCTCAGTGAAAGGATCAGAGTAAATGAAGAAGGGGCAGTGGGTTTGAAATAAAGCTGCTGTTTAATGAAAAACGCACACAGGGTTAGGTGGGGTGCAGTTTTGCATAATGGGAATCGGACATATGTTGCTGTTTGTTTTAACCCTGCAAGCTGAGGTAAGCAGAGATCAGTGTTTAGACGATGTGTGGAGATGAATTTTCTGTTCAACTTTGAACCAAGCAGAAAGGAAGTAGTGGGGACCATTGTAATCTCACCACATCAAGAATTTTTAATCTGAACATCTGGATTCAAATCGATCTTCGCCTATTCAGGAAGTGGTTCCAAATTTCTCTTCAACTCACCCTTTCCATGTTGCTTTTGGTCTACTCTGATAATGCTCACCCTCTGCTGAAATGAATGCTAATTGCCTTTTTGAATTTTTATGTCTTTGCTCACATTTGTTCCATGTTATCCTTTATTATTGTCTCGAGACAGGGCCAAATTTAAATATCCAAGAATGAAATATGAATATGTGATTAGTTTAAATCCAGATCTTCCTCAATTACATATAAGAGAGTCTGATATTTATAGAAAGAACAGATCTCCAAATCAAAGGATCTTAACCATTCCTGCACCCCACAAGTTTGTTCCCCATAACTTCTTTCTTGTATGGGTATTTCTTCCATTATTATCATTTCCTATGCCTAGAAAAATAAACTGTTTGTAATATGTGCAAGGGGGAAATTTTTAAGGAGGTCACATAACTATAGGAAGCTTCAGCTGCCTCTAAATGCTTCTTTTCTTCTAAACAAACAAACCCTGCCTTTGAAGATCTCATGAGGCTTTACCACCAGGAAGAAAATTGTTTTCCTTTTTTCTTTGGCTGAGGAGGACCAGAAGTCAGGGAATTTAATCTATGGTTGGGGAAAACCCATATTTTCTTTGGTCATAATCTAGACTCTGATCAAATATCTTGGGAAGAGAATTCCCTTCCTTTAAAAAAAATTCTTTTGGTGGCTAGTAATATTTCTCTGCGAAATGCTGGTTTTATTAGCTCACCTGCATTTGTTGTTAAGGACATTTCCATGGTACTTTGTTAGATACTGTTGCTTTATAAACACAAATAAGGAATTTTATTATAGTTAACCATTGAAAACCTTAGTCTATATCCAGCTATTAACTGTTGGTGCCTGGAAATTTGGGAAGTTTCAGCTCCAACGCATGTGGAAGGTACATGGAAAGCTGATTTAGTCTTGCTCAAGCATTCAAGCACATTCATAAATTCCATCCTCTCCATCACATCCCCACCCCTCAAGAGTGACCAAAAGAATCCACAGCCTGAAGTGGGAGGAACGCTGTGCTTGAGGCAAATGAAACATCTGTTGCTCCCTGCTTGTCTCCTTCCTGCCCATGCTTTCCTGACAGCAACTTCAATATGCACACCTTACAGCAGACCAGCTTAGTGGCTAAATTGTAGGCCTAATTCTGCAGAGAATCTCTCTCATTTTGAGAGGTGCCAAAATGGCTTCTGGGCATACAGATGCCATGAGAGAGAGAGCTATGCATCTTTACGTTCAAAGAGGCAACTGAATGGCCTGGATCAAGAAGGTCACAAAGGGAAGCTTTGCCCTGGCATCCCACCCAACCTGGTGCATCATCTAAAGGATTAGCCTTGTACATCTAAGACAGCTTCATCCCTTCCACTTATCAAGACGGATCTTCTTCGGCAGGGTGTCTGCTGCAGTCCATGTGCAGTTCTAATTTGCTTTTCCACTATCTGTACCAATCTAACATATTGCTTTGAAGCTGGTAAGTTTGATGGCCAAAGGCTGATCTAATATGGAGGAACTACTCTTGATAATTCCTATCTCCATAGCTTGCCAATGAGCAAGGCAGAACTTAGATTCCACTCTCTCTCAGTTGAAGACAAGATAACGAATTGCTGGTTAGTCTAGAGAGGTGCTGCTTAAACCCCATGAAATTTGAAAAGGCACATCTTTTTTCTTGTGCTAGCCTAATAAGGAGTAGTCTTTTGGAATATACCCAAAGCAGCCAACAGTCAAAAAGGATGGGAGCTGTAAGGATCCCTCTGAAATAAAAGTTCTGTGGAATTTAGGAGGAAAGGAAGCCCCTCTCCATCCTTCATCCCAGCTTAGCAAAGGATGCTGGTCAAAAGTGTTTAAGAGAGATGAAAGAGCAGATTAGAAGCAAATGCAAAAGAGAGAAAGGATCATCATTTACTCAGAGTATCTTCAGGATCTGGGAAGGAGTAGCAAATCCACATAAAACATGTTTCCTTTGCAGAGAAACTTGAATCCATGGATATAAATCAATAAAATGGAAATGTAAAAGTGAGAAAAAGTTATTCCACATACTTGTTTGAAGGATCTCTGTAAATCCATGAATGCATATAGAGAACTGGCTGGGAAGTAGAGAAGTTGAAGTCCTACACACTAGAAGGGGGAAACAATGATACAGAGGAAGACTAAGCTAATTACTTCAACAGTGCTTGGAGCAACTAGCATTATTATTAATATAAGGATAAGTAATTTGGTTCTCAGGAGGCACTGAATGTGTTCTCCACCAGAAATTACTAGAGAGCCTGGATGAGAAGCTACTTTATTCGTTTCTCTTCCAGAAAAAAAGGGTTGTTATGACCACGGCAGCTATTTTGTGATAGGCATGTCCTCCTGGCAGTCATCTGGCCAAAGCACTCAAGACATCTCTAGATTTTCAACCATGCCCACAAGTTAAATAAATAAATAAACAAGAATGCCCTTAAATGCTACTTCTATTCTATTCTATTCTATTCTATTCTATTCTATTCTATTCTATTCTATTCTATTCTATTCTATTCTATTCTATTCTTCTGTCTTACCTTATCTTATATTAGTAATCTTGAAAAGAGAAAAACAATTCTGTCCCCACCCCCTTTTTTTCCTTTTCTGTCACCAGTTATAATCCAACTTGAAAGCCTTGGCATCACCTCATTGGTTTACCAGCAGAGTCTCTCTGTCTGCTCCAGCAGATGATTCATTGCTTCTGTGCTGGCAAAAGGAAAACTACTGGAGTTATATCACATACCCCTTCAATTTCTTGTTGATCATTTGAAGCAAAACAAAACTGAAAGTATTACTGCTTCCCCCCTCCCCTTTATAATATTGGAGAAACCAAAGAATCCTCCTTTTCCTTTTTCCTTCCAGAAGTACAGTATTTCCAGGACTATAACATTACCAGCATTTATCACCTGGAATTCTGTTGAAAGAGTTGGAGAGGCTGCCTGGCTGCTTCAGTCAATCACGTTCTTTGTTACGTCTGTCAGTAGGTGGCTCATACAGCCCCTGAAGGATTTCATTGTAAGCTGGCATTCATTTCTCCCTCTGTCTCTCGCCTCTATCAGAAAGTGCTACTACCAAGGTAACAAAACAAAAAAGAAAAAACCCACCACCAACAACCTCCAGAAGATGAAATTCAAGCAATTTACATTAGCTCTGCTCTGAACTAAGGTTAAATATTGAATAGAAAATATAATCAAATCAAATCAGTTTATTACTGTCAGCCTCGTGGGGTAAACTAGATAGGAATCACAACCAGATGAGCTAATTTTACTTTATTGTAAGGCTACGTGGACAGAAATCTTGCAAGTCTGGAAGTATAATTCTTCCCCTCACCTCCTTTACAGCCCAAGAAACTAGGGAGGGTCACTTCTGAGCTTCTTGCCCCACTCACTATCCAGCTGTGGGCTATGCCGTCTCTTATCTGACCTTTCTCTAGGCAGCATCTCTTGGCCCCATCTCCCAAGGTCTTTTTCACACACCATCACACTTACAGCCATAAGACCAGATACAATAAAATATCTAATAGCAGAACTGTTACTTACATCTATATATATAACCAGAAAACAATAAGTATAATAGGATCTAAAAATAATTAAGAACATATATAATAAACAGAATAAAACAGAATAAAAATAGTATTATAAGAAGTGAGGAGCAAATGAAAATCCAGATTTAATTAATGGTATGGCCTATTGTACAAATGGTAGCACAAAACTGGGCAAATAGAAACTCTACAGAGAAAGTGGAAGGGTTCTTGTATTTTGCTCTGTGGCATCCTACAGTTGATCACCCTTATTTTTATTGGAGGAGGAGGAGGATGAAGATGATGGGGTATGGCTTTCAAATCATGTGATTGGGGTTTCTTAATGACTAAGTTAATATTAGTGAATGAAAATCTCTGACTACCAGATCACTCTTATCAAGGGGTGCAAGTGTCAGAGGAATATTGATTAGAGGGATATAAATACTGAGCCAAGCCATTGTTTGCATGGTTTGTGGACAAAATCACAATTGACTAACATGCTAAGTTATAGTAGCCCATGATTTACAGACTGCAACAGCTGGGTATGAATTGCAATGACCAGCTGAAGCTGGAACCAAGCAAATCCGTTTATGGTTTAGCATGCTGTATGAATCCAGCTATCATGAACATTGCTGTGGCTTGCCCACGAGTGTGAAATGATCCCCACCAACTTTGTGCCAACATGTTCACACCAAAACACATGTCCATCCTTCCAAACAGTGTATTTGTTGGCTATCAAAAGGCTATCATTCCATCTTTAGCCTGAGTAGAAATGGTTAAGGGGAGATATGATCATGGTCTTAAAAAATCCATAAAGGTCTTCCTCAATGAGGGTAAAATCAATGTCTTTTCTGTTGCTCAAAAGGACAGAAACACAAGGAATTTTGCACATTTTCCAAATAGCATGGGCAGTTTGACAATAGAACAAACTTCAACTGTACCAAAACTGGTGAGCGATCCTTCACTGGATGTGCTTAAGCAGAGCTGGACAGCCATGTGACAGAGATGCTTTGATTGTCTTCCAGATCCTGTTTGGAGGACCAAATGACATCTTTGATGACCTCTGAAGTCTCTCCAACTCTATAATTCTGGTTGATTTTATTTGGAGAGACCAACCGGTCAGAACAAATATGGCAGCTTCTCAACCAGCTGCCAAAACAGCGTATACCTGCCAGCTTTCTTGCTTCTCAACTATGGGTAGAGTGCATTCAAAATAACATCATTTATTATATATGAAATCATTAAAGAACAGCTCCTAATAACTGCAACCCGTGTTTTTATGAGATTTCCAAAGAAGTGGGTTTTATTTATTTCATACACATTATATAACTGACACAAGTTATATAGGCAGTTGATTGTTGGTTTCTGTCCTGACTGAATGTTTACTGGATTGAATTCATTGTTGCATTGTGGATGTGTGTCATGCTACTTGTTTCTTTGTTTCTCCGTTCTCTTTTTAAGAAGTGCATTTGGAGGAAAGTAAAGAAGTTACTGTCTGAAAAGGTTCTGCACCTCCTCAAAGGCATGAGACCCTTGATCTGTTCTTGTTTGTTTTGGACAGAAGAAAATGCACAGAGGGAAATGTGAAGTTCAGATGTTTCCCCTGCCCAAAGTCTGAGATCAGTTCTCCAGGTAGGGTTGAGAAAGGCTCCAGTCTAGGCCCTTTAAGAGCTGATCAAACCATGCCAGATGGACCTGTAAGACAGCTTCTCATATTCTACCCTGCACATGGTCTGGTGCCTGCCATCTTTATGCCAAGGATCTGCTGCTTGTTATACCAAGGGCCACACTTGATTTTTGACTGCTGGGCTAGGAAAGGTGGGTGCTCTTCAAGATGTAGGCAAGATATTGACAGAATGTAGATTTGACTCAATCAAAATTAAATGTCATAAATGCACTACTGCTAGTATAATTATTCTCCATATATTTGATTACTTTCCCCCTTAAATCACATTAACTTTTACAATTCAGCAGCAAGTTTTGGATGATCATTAAATATATGGAGAATAATCCTTCCAACTATACTTCATTTTTGGCATGCAGAACCCTGAGACTGCAGGTGACACACTCACCCTCTCCCCCCACCCTTTTTTCCAGAGAAAGCTCAATTTATCTCTCTGGAATCACACTTTAGTCATATTCAGCAGTCTAAATGCCAGAACTTTCTCTGCAAACACATGGAGGGACAGTAGCAACTCCCTCTGGATTTAGTTCATTCACCTTGAGCAAAATGTTGGACCTTTTTTTGAGGTCACTCCCAACCAGCTCCCTTTGGTATGTGAGTAAAAGCTTTGTGATATGAAGAAGGCTGATAAAAAGCCTCTTTATGCTCTTGATAAGAGGAGGAGAGTGGCCTTTCTCTTCTCCATTTTCAGCTATGGCCAATTTTGCAGTCTGTCCAAAGGAGCAAGTGGTTTCATGCGCAAAAGTGACATAATTATTCTCTTATTCTATTCTGTTTTACAAAGGTGGGGCTAGCTCAGAACAAACTAACCATCTCTGTGGCTGATGGACTCTGCACAATTGTAAACAGGCCACCTTCCATTGGGAGAAGCTCACAGATAGCCTGATATGTGATTGTCCCCTTTTGGGGAACTGCCTTTTTTTTCCTTTTCTTTCTTTCCCCTTATTTCATGTGGAAGAAAAAAGTGCTTGGAAATCAGCCTATCTTCTTGGCAGTCAGGGTTTACCCCGGGGGGAATAGAGAAAGAGAGAGAGAACATGTTTGAATTGGCTTCTATTAAATCCAAGCTTGTTTACTAATTAATTAATTTGACAAATATCCTGCCTTCCCCTGTGGCAAGCTGCATAATAGATCACCACTAATAACACAAGAAAAATACATGTTGGCATTACATAAAGTTGGGATAATAACTTAAAACTCAACTCCATGCAAGCATTCCAGAAGAGAGATCCAGTGGCTGAGTTTACCCAGCATAATAAACTGTGAAGAAAACATAGTTGATGTGCTTGTGTCACCAACTATGTTCAAACAAACCAACCATATTATGGTTCACCATGAAGGCCATACTGATCTCTCCATTCAGCCCCATTTCAGTCCCATTTCGGCCCCATCTAAGTGGGGCAAACCACTTGGCAAAAAATTGGCTTTCTCCTTGGAAATTGGGCACAGGCTTAGAGCAGGAAAACAAGAAGCTTTAATTTATAAGTGGGAAACCTGCAACCTTGTAGAGGTTACTGAACTAGAAGTCTTAACATCCTTCATTACTGGCCATACTTACTGGAGCTTTAGCATCATCTGAACATCCTGCTCTCATAACTTAAAGGAAGCGTTCACTGGTGATTGGATGACATCTCTTGACCAAAATGCACAGGTCTTGTTAAAACAGAATAAAGGAGATGAAATATATCTCTTGTGTGACTCATTTTCGTACATCTCTATATTTTGTGTACTTGTATCCCATTTGTTTCATCCGGTATTGTTTCACACTTCTGCTATTCTTATGTGAAAAATCAAAGCATATTACACACTCAGACGTTATGCTTGGCAAGCAGTAGGGCCTTCCTCCGCTCCATGTCCATTGTGACTTTGCAGTCTCCTGTTCTTGTCGTTGCAGCCACTGAAGGGAGAATGAAGAAGGAGCATTAACTCTACTTAGAACATTAATGACTCTGACAAGCTTTGAATTCAGGAGTTTAAGAATCCAAGCCAATATCCTATGTCTTGTATTACACTTCCTCTCATACTGAGGTAAGGAATATTTCTCATGGATCTACTTTGCCTTGCATTGCCCTCTGAGTAGCTTCCATTTTTCTGTGGAAGTCAGGTTGGTAACTTGTTTTACTGCAAAGTGTTTTCAGGTTTTTAACCCAATCAAAATACAATTGCAGAATTGCTGATCCTGTTTTTTGCAGGATCCATATTATCCTTCCTCGACGTTGCAAGTTACATATATATTGGACTTCAGTTCTGGCTGGGAACTGTGCAGTTGACATCCATCACAACTGGAGAATGCAAGATTTGTGAGGATGATTCAGACAGTGAGTTCTTGGGCTCCTGATTATGACCAACTCAAACTGAGGAGGTGACACAAATTTGCTGGTCTTTTAATGAAGCTGATGGAATAGCCTGATAAAATGGCAGCTGGACAGTACATTCTCTTCCTCAGTTGGTCATTCTCTTTATTTCTCCATGCTCTCCAAGTCTCCCTCCCTTGATACTCCATAATATCAATATTATAATGCTTGTATGGCTCAGTTTTTAAAGTAAGTTGGGGGCGGGGGGAGACAGTGACATATCCTTCTATTCTTTCTTCCTCCCTTCTGGGGCCTTCCAAATAATCTGAAGTTATACAACTCCAGAATTTCCAGCAACAATTTAACAGAATCCACACTTTTGCCATAATCCCAAACAGAAAAATGTACATTTTGTCCCACTGAAAATACTGCTGGAGAAGAAATTCAGCCAGAAATATCCTAAAATATCTCTACATTTTTGCTAAGGCATTCCTTTGAAAATCTGGTCCTGAGAAAACTCAGGGTGCATGGGAGATTCTTGGAACAAAAGGATTCCCTGTTTCCTGGATTTAGGTTTTGAAAGAAGCTGGGGTAACCAATGCTTGCTTTTCTTTTGAGGTGAACATTTGGGAGATCCTGAGATTTATTTCTAGCTCTGAGTTTGGTGAAATTCACATATCCATTTGTTCTCCTTGGTTCTTCTGCCATTTGACTTGGGGTCTTATTTGTGCTTTTCAAAACTAGATTTGTATAATTATATTCTTTAATGTAGCTTAGTTATATTGCTTCATCATGAATCCTAACCCTAACTCCATGAGAAGATCAAAGTCAGAGAATTAAGAGAGTTGATTAGGTTTTCATAGGATTTGTGCTATACAGTATGTGGCATTGTGTCTGCCTCTGTGTGTCTGTGAAGTACATTGGGGCTGGTAAGCAGTTCTCCACAGGAGATTCCTCTTTTGCCCAAAGATAAATGATAGGATTTTTTTTCTCAGAAAAATAAAGGGATGCCATTAATAAATACAAAATCTCCTGTTATTTTTCAATTATTGCTTGTTTACTGGAGGAGAAATGGGCCGGGGGTGGAGATTTAAAAATTCATTTGCACCTATCTTATGTGTAAAGGAATGTGGAGATAAGCTTGAAGAATGTATGCAGAAAAGAAACAGTCCAGGGAAAGGAGAAGACATAAGAAAGAAATTCAAAATAATGTCACCTTCATTCCGTTTGATATAAAAGGGTGCAGAGAGAAATTTCAGTAGGCCTTCAAGATTAGGTTGTTATACCCTATAACAATAAAATGGCATTCCTCTAAACCTTGCTCTGTTTCTTGATTTGGCCTATCTCAAAGAGCTGACATTATAAGATCTAACAAATTTGGTAAAATCATAAGACTGTGCAAAGTATTCTAAAGAGATGTTTTGCAGTGTGCCCTAGCACAGTGTTGTCCAAACTTGGCCACTTTAAGATGAGTGGACTTCAACTCCCAGCTGGCTGGGGAATTCTGGGAGTTGAAGTCCACTCATCTTA